TACAGCTACATACTCAAAATCAATCATATCACCTGATCCACAGTCTCTGGGCCATTGCCCAATAGTGACAACACTTCCTGCCTTGGCAATCCGTGGGTTCAGTTCATGTTACGTCGAGAAACAGAAAGAATGCTTGTCAAAAGTCGCCTATTTCTTCTTTCTTCTCTTGGATCGGGGTTGTTCGTATTATGGTTAGTGGTGAGACACGTTGCACTGATAAAGCAGAGCTTGCACCCTAGAACGTTGCTGTCATCATTTCCATGTGAAACATTTCTTTACCGTCCTTCTTCCAAAAGCCTCTTGATTGACTTCCCGATGGGCTCATATCTCCCATCAACTATAAAAAGTTCCTCGTTTCTTTACTTTTAAAGCCCAATGTACAGCACCTTCACTTTCTCGGCCTCTCCGGAGCCCCAGTCTTCCTCCGCCTCGGCCTGCGCCTCCGTATCCACCTCCGCTCCCTTGATGCCGAGACAAAAGTCGTACGAGTCACGTGCTCCGCCGCGGTGCTCCACCTTCCGCTCCGTTGAGGCTTGGCACAGCCGAAGTGGCGGCTTCGGGCCTCAGCACTCGGCATGCGCGGTCTAAACGCCGAGCGACTAACGAGAAGCATCTTGATGGTCGACCTGTCCGGTAGTGTGACTTCTCGGTGAGCAGAAGTTGAAAATCTAGCCATTGAGCATTCCTTGACGCATTGCGTGAATTGCGGCCTTGCTGACCAGGTCCATTTCAACACACAAACAGTGATACTGAAGCTTAATTTTAAGCGTTTATTGTTGAGAATCGGGCTGCCTTGGGCCTGAGAGTATTGATGACAAAAGTTTCCACTGAATAAGCTATTGTTGCTTTTTGAGCTACAAAGACAAAGACACAATGCGATACCAAGGATACAGTGTATCGAGCTTACGCCTACCAAAACCCTAGGTTGGCTCACCAGGGCAGGGGAATCACTGCTGAACTGTCTGTTATCTTGCAACTAATTTTCTTACTAGTGGGAAAGAGATGACATGAGATTGGTAGGGATCCATTAGTTTGTTGAGGACCTCATTTTGCTTTTGCGCATGGCTTACACATTGTAACCCCAGACCCCACGTTTTCCCCAGGTGACCCCCATTTGAATGTTTTTGTACTCGGTGCGTAAGGTATGGGAATAACGGCTTCTCATCACGTTGTGCAGTAGTCTGTGAGACAGTGACCATAACTAATTCATGCAGGCCTTCGTATCCTGTGTCCGAGCGAGTTGCATTTGCAACGGTGGCTAAGGCGACTCTATTCCGCGACCGCTTGAGATCGACAGCTAGTAATAATAGTCTTTTCTTTTTGCCCTCGACGGTCAGATTCCGTGAACATCCTGGGCATAGTATTTATAACCGATAAGATCTCGGAATAATCGTCCACTCAAATTGTCTGCCAAGATCTAATGCCGTTTGGCCAACTTCCCTCCCGTGAACTCGTGGCTTGAACCGGCCAGTGACTTGGCTTGCAGCCTGCCAAGCACCCAAGGAGGCATTAATGCACAACGATAAAATGACCGTATTTCAAGGCTATCCCTCCCTATTATGCCCGAGATGTTACAGCATTAGACGCAGCCAAGGGGTTTTGGTGGGACCGTATCGTATCTGATGCTAAGCCTTTAGAAACGTGGAATTTGGCAGTTTGACACCGAACCAAGAGATAGATTCGAGACCGTTGAAGCTTAATGGATATAGGCAACTCAGATCAGATTCGCCACGCAATGCTTCATACTGTCTGTCACATGGGAGGCTAGCCTATTTCTTACTGGATGCGTTGCTTACTGTACAATCCTGGCTTAGAAGTTACTTCACTCTCCCACTGATTTCAGGTTAACATCTTTTAGTATTTTATACTGCTGTACACCTCGATAAAAATTGTTGTTCTATAAGGCTATCGCTAGTACCCGGTCATTGTCTCCGACGACACAACCTCAAGCAGGTGGAGTCACTGCTGGCCAAGACTATTACTAAGGCTCTATCATTGTACGTTGTAGCTATCCCAGTCAGCCAAGAAACAAGCTTCTAAATAATAAAGACGGATGTCGTTCTAATAAGAAACTCTCTTGGCGGCTGGGTGCTGTCACTTGGCCGCATCTATCAGCATCCTACAGACTGGCCTACCCCAGATCAACGGTGCACAAGTTCCGCCAAGTTCGCCCAGCCGCCTCTGATTAGATGCATCTTGTTTTTATTCGTGATCTAGTGTCTGGGCGTTATGGATCTCTTAGTGGTTATCATGCATTTTCGTTTAAATATACGACTTGGCTTGGCTAGGCTTGAATGGCGGAAGCTCAATTGCCAAGTTTTCCGCCACAACCATGTTGCTGTCGTAGCGCTTCTTAAGTATATGTATTGGAGACCGAATGAACTATGGAGTTGAGCTTGATGTATTATTATTCTTCACTGAGAACACTTGGGTGTTGAGTTATGAATTGTGAGCCATGATATGTTTTCTGGCGAGCCGAGTCATTACAGGTCAAACCTATGTATTGGAGCCTATCATAAATTGCATTCCCAGGGGCTTAAGATTGAGCAGTGAAAATTGTATTTGATGCCTTACTTTCTAGAGCCGAAGAACAAAAAACTTGAACCAACTTTCTATACGCTTGTTGGCGTGACCTTGTCACAATCCGCTTGCAGTCCTCTTCTGGCTGCATCTGACATGAAAGTTGCTGACGAATCAACAATGCACTAAACACAGTACTCTATCAGCTTATCTACAACCATCACCAGCACATATCTTCTCGCATTAATGGAAACGTACACATAAAGAACAAATCGACTGCTCCAACTCCCCTGGACCTCAGAATGGCTGCCTTGACTCGGGTAGGGTCGAAGCTCGAGTTTGTCAGCGTGAGCCACCCAGACGAGGTCAAAAGCCGGTACAACAAGCGCAAAATTCATCAGCATGTAATGAAAGATATAGGATTATCAAGAAGAAAGGATACGCGGAGTAGGAAGTCAGGGACCGAGCCGGACATTTCAAGGGATTTGGCACTTCACGAAACCCACGCGGCAAACACACTCTATCAACCAGATGATTATAAGCATGGCGCAATATCCCAGTCATCAATGCAAATTCTTCAGCCAGGCGCAGATCGGACACTCTACTCCAGGACTGACACTAGAGCTAAAATGATGGAGGCCTTTCGTAAGTAATATTCATCGTGAACTATCAAATCTCACAAAGGGCAGTGCTTCGGCCAAAGTCGTCCATATGCGACAAGGTCAGAGAGATGTGCTTTGCTATCGGCCTCGTCGACCAGGCTACTCTAAATCTTGCACTTGCGGAGACAGCCCTATATAGCAATGAGTATACAGGTGATATGCATTCTGGGCGAGAAGAATCAACTGCGCTGAAGCACTACAATCTCAGTTTACGTTTCACCAGCCAAAAGATCCAAACTTCTAATAGCGTGCCTTCTGACGAAATTTTGATCACTGTTATAGGCCTTGCCAACTACGATGTAATGTTCGAGATCAAAGCTGAAAGCTCCTGCTAACCACCTATAGATGAGCATAGGTAAAGTCGAACGATACCGCACCCACCTGGCCGGCCTAGAGACCTTGGTGCGCGGCCGAGGAGGGGGAGAAATTTTTCGTTCATCCTATTTGTTATTGTCTTTGATTTGGTAGGCAATAGTTAAAACATCTCACAGATCTGAATCTAACAAAGTTGATATTCACAGGTCAGATGTTATCGGAAGCCTGTCTCTGGACCGTCCGCCGAGATTTGCAGCTCCTTCACACCTATGGACTCAGCCTGAGCCGCCCACAATCACCCATGTTCTGGAAAAAACCCTCAACGCTTTGAGGGACTTGTCACCATTTCTTTCAGATTTATGTTCAGTTCTTTTATCACTCACGAGAGTTGCTAAGGCGTCTCAACACTGGGAGGAGTCGACGTTCCGTTACTGTGAAACTATCCTGCATAGCTCATACTTTCTTCTCTTAGTGCCAAGGCACGTACCTTCAGAAGGGCCAGAGGGGCATACTTCTGGAATATTACTAATTCACCAAGCCATTCGTTTGGCCGCTTTGAGATTTCTTGTTACGGCCGCTGAGCACAGTCATCACACACTCGGCGCCATCCATTATCGCAAACCTCAACTTTCAAACTTGCTGGCAGATTATGAAATATCGTGGGATGGGTTGGAAGAACTTCAGGTCTGGGTACTAGTCATAGCGACAGTGACCGAAGGAACTCATGACAGAAGCTGGATGACAGAGAGGATAACTATTACGATTGAACGACTTGGTTTGAACTGGATCAAACTAAAGGGAACGCTGAGACAACTTGCTTGGGTCGATTCTTTTGAAGGCCAGTTTGGGAGGCTGGAAGAGGCCATGAATAGTCAGAAGGGGAGAGAGAGGGTTGATTGAATACCGCGAAACTGATGAGAAATTACAAGAGATTCTCAAATTTCTGGGTAGTCGATTGCAGGGAAATGACTGTCCAAAGTTCGGTAAAAATCAAAGACCAGAGCGTTTGAACTCGTGTGATAGGCCAGCTCGGATCAGATATCTCGGACTGTGCCTCGGACTCTTCATCAGGTAACGTTAGTCTAGCAAGCCCCCAATTACGGGTGATCAACCCGCTGTTCCCGTATTGGCATAAATCAATTTATTAAGACTCGAGCACTGAGTGGTCAGCTCGCTTTCAAACCATGTCTAAGCCTCAATCCATGGGGCATATATCAAATAGAGTCGCGCCTCAATATTTAGCCTAGCAACGTTTCCCAGGTTAATCCGTTCGATTTTGGGAGATCTTCCTAGTAATACCTGTGGCGATGCAAAGTTTGGCAATATTCGAAGGATTCTACCGGGTTTTAGGTTTCTGTAAGAACTAAAGACCATGGTCCGAGTGTGAGGGCGGCGTTCCTGTGCGAAGGCCCGGCTGTTTGCAATATATCTCTCTATTTAAGCAATGAAATCTCTTGAGTCTGTTTGAGAACGATACAGCAATTCACTTTGTTCAATTTTGAGATGAAGGTCAATAATTTCGTTCGCGGTCTTGCGTTATTCTCTGCCGGAGCTTGTGCATACAAACAGCTCACACCCCAGCTTGTAGCGGATGATATCAAAGCAGAGGAGTAACGAATAAACCTCTGGACTGAAATGTTTTGAGATAAAAAAAACTGATGTTCTATAGTCTCGACAAGACGCTTCAAGCTTTATACAGAATTGCCCTTGACAACAGCAACAACCGGGCCTTTGGGCTCCCCGGTTACAAGGCATCGCTTGATTTTGTTCTTTCTCGCCTAGGCGGCGGTAACCATTTCGATATCACTGTTCAGCCATTCAAACATCTCTTTTCCCAAACTCGAAAGATCGTCCTGATAGGCCCCGATGGAGAACATGTTGATGCCGTCTCACTGCAGTACAATCATGCAACTCCCCTACCTGGCGGCGTAGCTGCTCCTTTGGCCCTCGTCCCCATAGACGATGTTCGTGGCTCCGGTTGCTTCGCGGACCAGTGGAAGGATATTGATTTCGAAGGGAAAATCGCCTTGATCAAGCGCGGGAAATGCCAGTTTGCAAACAAGCTCAAATTGGCCAGAGACAACGGTGCTTCAGCAGCCATCGTCTTCAATGATAATCCCAACCATACGGCGGGATCTGGATCCCTCGGGGCAGAGAACTTTGGTAAGCTTGCACCTGCTGGTGTCGTCACGTACGACAAGGGAAATTCTTGGGCCGAACGTCTTGAAGCAGGGGAAAACCTTAAGATCAATCTGACCATCGATGTCCTGACTGAAAAGCGCGAGACTTGGCAGGTCATAGCAGATACCAAGGCTGGTGATTCTAACAGTGTTGTTATACTGGGTGCCCATCTTGACTCGATTCAAGAAGGCCCGGCATTAATGACAATGGAAGTGGCGTCGCCGCCCTACTCAGTATCGCCGAGGCAGTCAAGAAGTATAAAAACATCAAAAACAAGCTTCGATTTGCCTTCTGGGGCGCTGAGGAGAGTGGGATGATTGGGTCAACTTACTACGTCTCCAACCTGTCCAAGGATGAGTCCAGAAAGATTCGGTTCTACTACAACTACGACATGATTGCCTCTCCACGGCCTTACTACATTGTATATGCCGACTCGGACGCACACAAATCTGGCGCAAGATATCTTTATGATTTTTTGGCCGACAAAGGGTATCCTGCTGAGTATACGTAAACCCTTCCTCCTTACTTCTCTTCAATGGATTCTGCTAACCCGCCACAGACCTTTTGGGGCGTCCTCTGACTACGTGGGGTTCCTTGAACTCGGCATTCCTTCGTCCGGTATCTTCACAGGGGCTGGTGCTCCGCAAGATGGTTGCTATCATACTCTGTGTGATAATATTAAGAACATTAATCAGAAAGCACTTCTCGTCAATGCTAAGGCTGCCGGCTACGCCGCTGCAAGTCTTGCCTTGAGTGTAGATGAGGTACCTATGCATGAGAACTCAACTGTCAACCCTTTGAGCAAGCGCGGAGTAGCGAGAAACATGGTTCGTTGGGCGAATGTTATTCGAGGTACAGTGAAGGTCCATAGCTGTGGGAGTGAGAGGAAGATCTTTATCTGAGGCATTGATTAACATATTCAAATACTCTACAAAAGATGGAGGTTCGAATCACGGCATTTTTTACTTTTAAGAATGATGAAAGGTAGTTGACGGTATCTACAATGAAGAGCTTCCGTTGCTTGGGTTAAAGGGGATCTGAAATCTACCTTTATATGAACCCTATGGTTCCGCCTAAATAGGCAAACAGCTACAGTTTTTCATGGGACTTTTGTTTTTCTCTCTCTTATAGAAAAACCTAAGTAGACAGAATCTTTGGCCTTCCTTCGGCATCTAAATCGAAAATATCTTCCTCAATCTTGGCCCCATTCTTCAAGGCCTCCTCAAGGCCTCCCCTCAGCATGTAGGGATCAGTTGAAAATCCTTTATGCCACTCTCGCCCTTCATATTCCTCTTCCACGGGTTTCTCACCAGTAGCCTGGATTGCTTTAGAACTCTTTTCAATATTCCCCCACACTCGGAGAATGTTTTCTCCTGCGAGCAGACGGATCTGCTCATCTGTTGCACCTCGCTGCATGAGCACCTCCATCAAACTGGGATACTTGGAAACATCCTCTAGCCCAATAGGTACGTTTGACATGCCAAAGAAATCCGCACCGATTCCAACGCAGTTCCAGCTACATACCTCTGCGATGTGGAAGATATGATCAGCCACATCGTGTATTGATGCTTGTTCAGGATGCTTCATGTTGAGGAAGCGATTGAGGAACACGGCCATAACTATGCCGCCGTTTTGCTTGACCTGTCGAAGAACATCGTCGGGGACATTTCGGAGATGCGGCTCAATAGCGTATGCTCCAGAATGCGAGAATATTACCGGCGCTCGAGCAATGCTGAGAACATCCCTCATTGTCTGATGAGAAACGTGCGATAGATCAACCATCATTCCCAGCCTGTTCATCTCTTTGATAGCTACTTTTCCAAGCTTTGCAAGCCCAGTATCTGCAGTTCCAGAGGCAACAGTTGAAGCTGCCATTGCGAATGCATTGTCACAATTGTGAGTAATAGTCATGTATCGCGCTCCCAGTTCGTACATCTGCCGAAGGCTTGCAATGCTGCCACCAACCTGATGGCCACCTTCAATGCCAATCATGCTTGCGATGCGGCCTTTTTTGAACGCCTTTCTAGCGCAGGCTGCCGTATCGCAATACTCCAAATCTTTTGGGTGCTCTCGGATGAAGCGTCGAGTCACATCGATTTGCTCAAGCGTGTCTCGAACGATCCACTATCAAGAGATTAGCAACGGCCAAACATGAGAGAAGATTCGGCGAAAGAACTGCCACTCACGGAAGGATCCTCAAAGTGCTTTTGCTGTTCGTCGCAGTCTACATACACGCTCCAGAATTGACCACCGACCATGCCTTGCCTCAGTCGCTGTAGATCTGTATGGCCCAGCAATCGGTTGGTAAAGTCGAAACGTTCATCATAGATGCGGTTCTTGAGTTCAAGACGAAGCATGAATGGTAGATCATTGTGGCCGTCAATTAAACTGTGGACTGTCAGTGCAATCTTCTTAAGCAAGACCAAGAGTTGGCTTACGGCGTCGTCTTGAGGATTCGCTTGGTACGCTCTGCATAATTGGTGGGATCAATCGACTCTTGACCAGGCCATAAGAAGGTAAATGGACTCAGTAAAAGCACGATCCCAGCAGTAATGACTGGATATCGAAATCGTGACCACCAGGCTGTGGCTGAGGAATTGGCGTGTAGCACCAATGCCCCATCGCGATTGTTCTTAGTTGACGTCGCTGATTGAGGAGTGTTCGCCTGCTGGCTATTTCGTCGGGGCGGCGAGGACACAGTCGGTGACGAATCGGCCATGACCACCAAACTATGATTGTGAAAATGAACAACTTGAGCATGGAAATAAAAGGCCAATTTCCTGAAACTTATACGAGTCTAGATCGGAGCAGAGTTTGCGATTGAGTCACGATTAGTTATCCTTGCTAACCACTGAACAGGTGGAGTGGTAAGCGGGCTCCAATAAAATTAACACACTAACTAGTAACTCAGCTGCACGATAGGTAGATGGATCAGCAAATCGAGCGACGGGATGGAAGACGGTAAATGAAAAGACATGACAGCCATTTATTGAAAGAGCGATTTGATCTAGATTATCTCACCGAATTATCATCTTTCCTCAATTCAGACTGATTCTTCGTCGTTGTTTTGATAGTCGTTTCGAGGTTTTATTGTCAGACGGGATGGAAACTAACGGGAATAGTGTCACTGTCCAATACAAGAAGATGTCATAATTATCAGAACAGAATGCTGTAACTCGGCACCCAGAACTGGGACTATTTTCTTCTTCTCGGATATATCGAAAGCACCCCAAAATGATGGACTCTAAGCATTTGCTCTATCCAGACACTAAACTTAACATTGGTTCTTGAGCATCCATCTCAATCCTGGACCCCTTCAATCAGATTCTTGATCCCCTCACCATTCATGGTTTTCTTCCACGCTTCCGAAGCTTGATTGAAGGGAGTAACGCTACTGATCAGAGACGAAACTGACACCTCACCAGATTCGAGAAGCCCAAGAGCAATTTCAAAATCCCCAGGGCCATATCGGAACGAGGTTTTTAACACCATTTCTCTCTCACACATGGCATGAAGGGGCAAAGTCTGCATAGCTTTGCCAAGTCCAATTTGAACAAAAACACCTCCGCGCCTCAAAGCATAGATGCCAAGTTGTGCTGATGATTCGACTCCGGTGCATTCCAAGACAACGTCAGCACCATTGACAAGACCAGTCTCTTGTCTCAATCTAGCAGCTTCCTGTTCAGTTGTCGAAGTTGAACTCGATTGAGGCTTGAAGGTTTGGCACTTGAGACCCTTTTCTGCAAACTCAAGTTTATTCGCGTTGATATCGGTGATGACAACCTGCTTGGCTCCATAGGCCCACGCTGTTGCCGCTGTGAGATAGCCCACGGCACCCGCTCCTTGGACTATGACTGTATGGCCAGGTCGTATATCGGCGAGACGAACTCCGTGGACAGCGACACTCAAAGGCTCCACCAGAACAGCCTCTTCCAGGCTGATCGAGTCGGCAATTTTATATGCGAAATCCTCTGGGATCTTGAAATATCGAGAAAGCGTTCCGTGTGTCGACGGGGGGTCCGCAGCGAACTTCATCTTCTGGCAGAGATTGTATCGTCCGGATTTGCAGTATGTGCAACTCTTGCACGAGAAGCCCGGTTCAATAGCCACGCGATCGCCAGGCTTGAGGTTCGAAACCGCGGGGCCGGCTTTGTAAATAATTCCGGAAGCTTCGTGGCCCATCACCAGAGGATGCTCCTCGGAAACCTTCCTTGCGAATCCGCCTTCTGTCCAGAAATGAACCTGCTACTGTCAGTGTTATATCTAAGACTGTTGGGCTGATGCTCACATCGCTACCGCAAACACCTGTGTATGCAATCTTCACAATTACATCGTGCGGATCTTCAATCTGGGGAATTGGTCTTTCACCGAAGCGAGCGTCTTCGGGGCCATAGAGAAAACAGGATGGATTCTATCAACCTTATGTCAGTCCACTATTTATCAGAAGCTCAGACGATACTGACCATCTCGCTCATAGTGTAAAGTAAGGTAGAAAAGTTCCGGAATCAAAGGACTGAAGGCGCAACTGTATGGATAGTGTTAAAGACTTAAAGTTATGAAATATTTATTACAATATATATATATATATATGCATTCGACCCAGCAGTTACTGTATTCGCAGTCATGTGGTAATTATCTTCGGGTCACTGTCCTCCGAAGGAGGGGAAGCATGACTGTATTACCGATGTCACCTCTCCATCGTGAGTAACCATTGGGGATGGCCGAGTTATAGTAGACCAATCCATTACACAATCTGGAACGAGAAAACCATCTGCATCGCTGGCTTGGGTATGATAATAGATAATCTCTCAAAAAACGATCAATAGTTTGTACAAAGTTTGATTTTCGTGATTGCGAAGGGAAAGGGAGTCAAATCAGGCATAGACTTTTAACATTTAACTTGAAGATGCTAGCCAGGCACTCAATTGGTCAAGTATTTACGCGAATACTGGTAGGCTTTTCTGCACTAGGTAGTCTTCTCTTCCATATATAGACTACCTAGGCAGATGATAACTTGAAATCATCCTCGGACTCAACTCGGTGATAATTACTGTATAGACTTCTACACTCTTATTCAATATCGACCGCTGTAAAATAAATTTATGATACTTTAGATTCCCTTCCTTCCACTGTCTCAAGGCAATACATAGCCTCCATCAATCAACAGATCGCTTCCAGTCATATATGTTGAAGCATCGCTAGCAAGGTACAAGTAAAGACCCTTGATCTCCTTGACATGTCCCTGTCTTCCAAGAACAGCCATACGATACGCTTCATTAAGCGCCTCAGGACTTGCACCCATCTTTGTATCAAAGAAACCAGGAGATACAATATTTACACGAGCAAACTCGCGCCATTCCCTAGCAAGAGACTTCCCAAAGTGTGTTATAAAGGCCTTGCTCCCGTTATAGACTGGCTGATCTGTTGGCACGTTGACGATATGGGCACTCATGCTGGAGGTGATAATGAAGTTCCCGAAACCCTGACGCTTGAAAATCTCACCGGCGTATTTGGCAGAAAATACAACTCCGTCCACTACATGATTGTTAGTGGAACCAAAGACGTTGGGAGTGGTTCCTTACCATTCACCGACATCTGCTTCCTGTATTCTTCCAAAGTCTGTTCAAGAATGGGTTTTGAAATTGCCATGCCTATCACCGATTTCTTAGCTCTATCCAGAATACCATGATCCTTAGCCCGGAAAGACTCACCTGCATTTGCAACATAGACATCGATCTTGCCAAAATCTTCAAGAACGGCCTTTAGGGCATCTTGAATCTGCTGTGAATCAGATACTGAGGGAAACGTTCGTGTCAGCTGTTGCTAGAGGTTCTGTTCACCCAAAAGTACCCACCGTCGACCTTGTAAGCAGATGCCTTGATGCCATGTTGCTCTGAAAGTA